GGGTGGTGATGACTCGATCCTCCGTCTGATACTCGCGAAACATGTGATTAGGGGACATGTTAACATTTGTTTCGTGCTTACCAGACGCTGGATAATTCTCCGATACTGCTTGTATGGAATGACCCACACGGAATTGGAGATTCATACGAATATAAAATGTTTACTAACAGGACTTCTTAGTTAACGTCATAAAATCTCTATCGTAACGGTTGACCCGCTGACTGACTTCAAAAGACAAACACTAAATTGACAGATTCTTTAATAATGGTCATTACATTACCTACGCATTTCTCAAACCTCTCCATTGTGTCACTCAGTTTCACATAGTTCCTAAAATTGGTGAATAATTATTATACATCGAATATTAGGTTATTTAAAGCTTAGGACATTTAAGCTCCGACGGGAATGGCCACATGATAATGCAGATTAAGAAGCGTCATTGCTAATGCAGGAAAGGGAACCACAAAAATAGGCAAACAGGTTAGAAAAATTAAATGCTAAATTTGTTTACACAGGCTGTATAGTAAATGTTTTGACTAGCTGCATCAAGAAAAGTCGTTTACATAGACTATATGGAAAGATGATTGTCTGTGTAACCCCAGTGTATGAAAAAGTTCAACAATTCACTAACAAAAATATAAAAACAAACAAAATTCAGGGAAGATTATCGTAGTAATTAGAGGGAAAATGAATTTTTATTTATTAAAAACGTATCCCACCTGGCTAGAATACACACACACCACACACACACACACACACACACACACACACTCGGACGCTACGAAGACTAATGTGACACTGTATATCCAAAGTAATACACGTATCTAACATGAAAATTTACATAAACTGAACGAGTAATGATGATAATGCAAACTGGTGAGGAGATGACAACCATTTAACTGTAACTGTAACGTAGTAACTTCTGAAAGAGAGAAAATTGTAAAAGAGAAACTTTACTGAGACGCCTTGCTTGTGAAACAGGTTTCGTCAGTCACCAAACCGACTGAAGAAGCCTATTTCGTAGACGAAACTTTTCAGTGAAGTTCTTCTCTGCATTGGTGTCTTTCACCACTTGTCGGCTTTACGTCACTCACCTTCATACATAGACACTGTTAACTGTGTCCAGTAATATTAACAAGGCTCAGGGGAACCTGGTGTTTTTATTAAATTCTACGGAAATATTGAGATATCATTTAGTCAAGCATTTAAAAAAATTTTTTAAACATGACAATACAAAATGAGGCAGATATTGCAGGTGTAGGAGGTAGGTTACTGAAAGCAGTGAAGAGTTTTTACGAGGATAGTGAGGCTCAAGTTAGAGTATGTAGGAAAGAGGGAAATTATTTCCCAGTAAAAGTAGGCCTTAGACAAGGATGTGTGATGTCACCGTGGTTGTTTAATATATTTATAGATGGGGTTGTAAGAGAAGTAAATGCGAGGGTCTTGACAAGAGGCGTGGAGTTAAAAGATAAAGAATCACACACAAAGTGGGAGTTGTCACAGCTGCTCTTTGCTGATGACACTGTGCTCTTGGGAGATTCTGAAGAGAAGTTGCAGAGATTGGTAGATGAATTTGGTAGGGTGTGCAGAAGAAGAAAATTAAAGGTGAATACAGGAAATAGTAAGGTTATGAGGATAACAAAAAGATTAGGTGATGAAAGATTGAATATCAGATTGGAGGGAGAATGTATGGAGGAGGTGAATGTATTCAGATATTTGGGAGTGGACGTGTCAGCGGATGGGTCTATGAAAGATGAGGTGAATCATAGAATTGATGAGGGAAAAAGAGTGAGTGGTGCACTTAGGAGTCTGTGGAGACAAAGAACTTTGTCCTTGGAGGCAAAGAGGGAATGTATGAGAGTACAGTTTTACCAACGCTCTTATATGGGTGTGAAGCATGGGTGATGAATGTTGCAGCGAGGAGAAGGCTGGAGGCAGTGGAGATGTCATGTCTGAGTGGCAATGTGTGGTGTGAATATAATGCAGAGAATTCGTAGTTTGGAAGTTAGGAGGAGGTGCGGGATTACCAAAACTGTTGTCCAGAGGGCTGAGGAAGGGTTGTTGAGGTGGTTCGGACATGTAGAGAGAATGGAGCGGAAACAGAATGACTTCAAGAGTGTATCAGTCTGTAGTGGAATGAAGGCGGGGTAGGGGTCGGCCTAGGAAAGGTTGGAGAGAGGGGGTAAAGGAGGTTTTGTGTGCGAGGGGCTTGGACTTCCAGCAGGTATGCGTGAGCGTGTTTGATAGGAGTGAATGGAGACAAATGGTTTTTAATACTTGACGTGCTGTTGGAGTGTGAGCAAAGTAACATTTATGAAGGGGTTCAGGGAAACCGGCAGGCCGGACTTGAGTCCTGGAGATGGGAAGTACAGTGCCTGCACTCTGAAGGAGGGGTGTTAATGTTGCAGTTTAAAAACTGTAGTGTAAAGCACCCTTCTGGCAAGACAGTGATGGAGTGAATGATGGTGAAAGTTTTTCTTTTTCGGGCCACCCTGCCTTGGTGGGAATCGGCCAGTGTGATAATAATAAAAAAAAAAAATACAAAATGAGATATCACTAAGAGTCGGTGTCTCTTGTATGATTTCAATATAAAATTCAGGCGACGTTGTTAGCTCGGAGATAATGAATTAATCCATAAATACCAGTGTTGTTTACGAAATTTGATGTGACACTAACGACGCGCTCTTCTGTCATGTTGAAGAATGACAGACTTGTGCAATATTTCGGAATCTTTAATGAGGAGACGTTTCACCACCCAGTGGCTTCTTCAGTCCATTACACAAAAACAGTTAAAGATGAGGAGTGTGAGGTAATCTGTCCCTCACACTTCTCATCCTTCACTTTTCTTCTTTGTAATGGACTGAGGAAGCCGCTGGCTGGCGAAAAGTTTCCATATTAAAGATTCCCAAAAGTTGTACAAATGTCTAATTCTTCAACTTGTCGGTTTTGTAAACCATTTACATAATGACTCTTCTGTCATTTAGAGACCGAGTCATTATAATACTGATATACAATGCTGAAGACTAGAGGAGTAAGCCACATGTGCAACACTTAGTTAACTATTTTCCAAACGCTTAGCCTACACAGTGGCGTACAGAAATGACTAAATATGTAAGCGAAGCGTTTCGGAAATAAAGATAACTATTGCACACGTGACTTATTCGTGTACTTCAAGACTACAGCCATCTTACAAGTTGGTATTCTACCAAAACTATTTATGCTATACTGGCCACCAGAGAGGCAGTCTTGTTCAATGGACCTACACACACATTCTGCAGTTGTGTGGTCTGTGGCATGGTATCACACAAGCTTCGACGTCATAACTTGCTCAAGTTATCGTCTGAACTCTACGCAGTGACTGTGGTCATGGTATCACACTAGCTCTGACGCAGTAACTGTGGCCATGGTATCACACCAGCTCTGACGCAGTAACTGTGGCCATGGTATCACACTAGCTCTGACGCAGTGACTGTGGCCATGGTATCACACAGCTTACGAGAGTAACTGGGGCCAGGTATCACACTAGCTCTGAAGCAGTAACTTGGGCCAGGTTCACTACTAGCTCTGACGCAGTGACTTACATGGTATCACACTAGCTCGCAAGACATTACTTGGCCACCGGATCACACTAGCTCTGACGCAGTAACTGTGCCATGGTTCAACTGTCTGGCAGTAAACTGTGGCCAGGTATCAACTAGTGCCGACGTATGACTAGTCATGTATCACATAGCTCTGACGCAGTAACTGTGGCCATGGTATCACACTGCTCTGACGCAGTAATGTGCCATAGGTCTACCTAGTTTGACGCAGTGGAGTGTGCCATGTCTCCAGTAACGGGCCAGGTCTGACGCAGTAACTGTGCCATGTAATCACATAGTCACGCTGTTGCGCATATATGGTAATAATAAACGGTTGCAATAATGTAGATTGAGGACATTTTTTTATCAACGTGATATGATCGACAATAGAGGATGGGGGACCCTGTTACGTCCATTTTCTATGCAAAACAAATAAAATTGGAATTCTGGTGAATTGTATCAAGGGAACAAAATATCTGGTAGTATTTCTCTACGATTTTTTTAAGTCGAGATTTTACATTGTTGATACTTTACGCAATGACGCCGTAGGTATTATATTTGTGCAACATGAAAGTATAACAGTGAAGTGAACTTGTGTAAATTTTGCTTCAGTTTTTATTAAATTAGTCTTGGCTTTATTTGCTGATTCATATAAATAAATTTTGCTACAGTTCACAGCAACAAATGTTGTCTTATGACACCAATATATTTTATGACTCACGAAATCGTAATAACACGATTGCAAAATATTACTAAAATGCCCCGTGAGTTTAAGGACTTCCTGGCCATGGTCAAGCTGTCACCCGTTCTGTGATTTAATATATCTTATGACTTTTTAAAAACTTGTAGTGAATCCTGATTCAACACTATTTCTTGTAGATGTTTTAGTACCCAGGTGCAGATGGGGGCGAACAATGGCATAAACTGGCGACAAAGTCACAAACACATCTGTTTGTGACTTGCTAAAACCCATTGTGTGGGCGAGACGCTGTCAATAAAGATTTGTATTATACAGGACTTGTTTCTTTTCCACGGTGCCGAAGTGTAGGAATTCCTTGGACATTAACCATTTTTTATGTTTATTCTCAAATGTAAGTTACTCATACTTTCTTAATTATAATATTTACTCACTGTTCAGTAAGATTTTTACAAACAATATTCAGTGATAATTATTTTACAAATGTACAGATAAAAAATTTGCTAAATCCTTCCCCCCTTTTTTTTTTACCATGTGGAGGGACAATATAATGTATATATTTCTTCCTGAATATATTTCAATTAGGCTGTGAATCATTACGTTGAATCACCTACAACACTTTTGGAACTGCCAGTTTTCCCAAAACCAATTAAAAACGTTCACATAAAAATAGCTGGGATTAAATCTTTATGGAACTTTTACAATATGATGTTCTGATCTGCCCTTCACAAAAAAAAAAAAAAAAAAAACTTCAATTCTGACAATTCGTACCCGAGTCAAAGGCATTAATTACCAAATAAGAACAGATAAGAAGGTGGCAATAGTAAAGAACCTTTACAAGAAAAAATAACATTAATAGCAACAAACGAGTGAAGAAACAACAGCACCGAGGACAAAAACAACAGCAAAACTGATAACTTATTCTTGAGTTACGAAAACGATAGACGCAGACGTTTAACTTGGTCTTCAGTCATGAAAATAGACAGACGCACCTTCTTATGAACGTGCTGGAGTAGCTTCTTCCTCATATACTGGCATCATCTCTCACTTACCTGAAATAAAATTGTAAAACAATATTTTATTAAACTTATTATATACCGACAAGTTAGTGAATAAGATACAGATGCAACACTTGGGTATCTTTACTGCTGAAATATTTTGGCAATAAAAACGCCCAGGTGTTGCACATGTGTCTTTAGTGTTCAACTACAATATACTTAAAAAGTCTCTAAAATTACAGAGAGAGAGACAGTAGAGTAACACTCAGCATATTTGACAGACAGAAACACAGAAACACACACACACACACACACACACACACACACACACACACACACACACACACACACACACACACACACCTGGTCAAGTGTCTATGACAACTAGTTAACTACGTACAAACAGGGCATACATTTTTTATTTTTTTTTTATTAACACACTGGCCGATTCCCACCAAGGCAGGGTGGCCCGAAAAAGAAAAACTTTCACCATCATTCACTCCATCACTGTCTTGCCAGAAGGGTGCTTTACACTACAGTTTTTAAACTGCAACATTAACACCCTTCCTTCAGAGTGCAGACACTGTACTTCCCATCTCCAGGACTCAAGTCCGGCCTGCCAGTTTCCCTGAATCCCTTCATAAATGTTACTTTGCTCACACTCCAACAGCACGTCAAGCATTAAAAACCATTTGTCTCCATTCACTATTATCAAACACGCTCACGCATGCCCGCTGGAAGTCCAAGCCCCTCGCACACAAAACCTTTACCCCTCCTCCCTCCAACCTTTCCTAGGCCGACCCCTACCCCGCCTTCCTTTCCAATTATCTGTCTTTGTGCTCGTGTATACCTTAAACCCCCCCCCCCGTGACCTGTCACCTCTAGGGTGTGTCACACCGCGTAAGTCACCTCAAGGTTATGTCACAAAGCGTGACAGTCACTTCTAGGGGTATGCCACCACGCAGGAGTCACCTCTAGTGGTATCACGCAAGCTGGTGCCCAGAGGTGGGTCATAAAACTGAGACACGTCTTAGCCCGGGTATATTGCTCGGACCTCATAACGTGGTTACAACTTCATAAGTTTGTTGATCGCCGTAAATATCACCTCCAGGAATTTTTACTCACCAAATACTGGGACGCTGCTAGAAAATACTGCGCGTTGAGTGTACTTACTTAAATATGGGTTATGGTTAGGTTATTGTTAGAATGTGTAATGTTCAGGAGATCCACATGGAGTCAGAACCGCAGTGTGCGAAAGTGATGGTACATTTCGCTCGTCGTGGGTTCCAAACTGGTGCTTCATACTCCAGTATGGGCCTGGCGTACACGGTGTACAGAGTCTTGAACGATTCCTTACTGAGGTATCGGAACGCTGTTCTCAGGTTTGCCAGATGCCCATATGCTGCAGCAGTTATCTGGTTGATGGGCGCCTCAGGAGATGTGCTCGGTATTATACTCACCTCAAGATCCTTTTCCCTGAGTTGGTTTGTAGTCTTTGGCCACCTAGCCTATACTCTGTGGTCTTCTTTGCCCTTCTCTGATCTTCATTACTTTGCATTTGGCGGGGTTAAATTCGAGGAGCCAGTTGCTGGACCAGTTTTCCAGCCTGTCCAAGTCTCTTTGTAGTCATGCCTGATCCTCATCCGATTTAATTCTCATTAACTTCACATCATCTGCAAACAGGGACACTTCTGAGTCTATCCTTTCTGTCATGTCATTCACATGTACCAAAAATAGCACTTGTCCTAGGACTGACCCCTGTGGAACCCCGCTCGTCACAGGCTCCCACTCTGACACCTCGTCACGTACCTTCACTCGTTGTTGCCTCCCTGTCAGGTATTTTCTGATCCATTACAGTGCCCATTCTGATGTGTGCGCCTGATCCTCTAGCTTTTGCACTAATCTCTTGTGAGGAACTGTATCGAAGGCCTTCTTGCAGTCCAAGAAAATGCAATCTACTCACCCCTCTCTTTCGTGTCTTACTTCCGTTACCTTGTCATAAAACTCCTGTAGGCTTGTGACACAAGATATCCCTTCCCTGAATCCGTGCTGGTTGTCGTTTATAAGCTTGTTCCGTTCTAGGTGCTCCATCACCACTCCTGATAATCTTCTCTATGACTTTACATACTATATTCGTCAGTGACACTGGTCTGCAGTTTAGTGCCTCATGTCTGTCTCCTTTCTTAAAAATGGGGACTACATTTGCCGTCTTCCATACCTCAGGTAGGTGCCCAGTTGCAATGGATGTGTTGAAAATTTTTATTAGTGGCACACAGCATCTTTGCACCCTCTCTAAGGACACACTGAAAGGATATTGTCCGGTCCAACCGCCTTTGAGGTATCAAGTTGACTTAGCAGCTTCTTCACCTCGTCCTCCTCGACTGTATGCATTTCGGATATCCAGCACTTGTTGGCATATACCTTTTGGCGTACCCCCGTATTCCAACTTCCCGGAGTCCTTTCTGTCTCTACTGTAAATACTTCCTTAAATCTCAAGTTGCGCTCCTTACATACTTCTTGGTCGCTCCTTGTAAGCTCCCCACCGTTTTTCCTCAGCCTGATTACCTTGTCCTTGACTGTTGTCTTCTAACTCATGTGGCTAAGCAACAGCTTTGGGTCAGACTTGACTTTCGATGCTATGTCGTTTTCATACTGTCGCTGAGTTTCGCTCCTTATTTGTGCGTACTCGTTTCTGGGTCTCCCACTAATCTCATTATTTTCCTGGTTCCTTTGTCTTGTGTACTTTTTCAATTCTCTAGTGCACTTAGTTTTTTCTTCCCTACAGCTTTGGGTAAACCAAGGGCTCATTCTGGTCTTCCCATTATTTCTGTTGCCCTTGAGAAGAAACCTTTCCTCTGCCTCCTTACCTTTTGCCATGTAGTCTATCATTTCGTTTACTGATTTTCCTACCAATACTCTTTCCCAGTGAACCTCCTGCAGGAAGTTCCTCGTGCCTGTGTAGTCCCCCTTTTGTAGTTTGGCTTTTCCCGTCCTACTCCTGTTACCCTCTCCACTGTAACTATGCATTCAAAGCTCAGAACTACGTGATCACTAGATCTGAGGGGCCTTTCATACGTGATGTCTTCGATGTCTGAGCTACTCAGGGTGAATACAAGGTCCAGTCTTACTGGTTCATCCTCACCTCTCTCTCTGGTAGTGTCCCTAACATGTTGATGCAAGAGGTTTTCCAGTACCACATCTATCAGGACCTACATGTGACTCCAGGATTTCCCAGTCGTTCTTCTTGTGATTGAAATCATCCATAACTAGTAACTTTGCTCTACTCGTGTGAGCTCTTCTGGCTACCTCAGTTAGTGTATTCACCATTGCTCTGTTGCTGTCTTCATATTCTTCTCTCGGCCTCCTGCTGCTATGTGATGGGTTGTACATCATTGCAATGACCACTTTACATCCCCCAGACTGAACTATACCTGTGTGTTCCCTTTTGCCTATTTTGTCCATTCCTTCCATTTCTTCAAATTCCCATCAGTTTTTAATGAGCAGTGCAACTCGTCCTCCTCCTCTGCTCCATCTATCTTTCCTCAAGATCTGATATCCGGGTGGGAAGATTGTATCTGTTATCCTGGCGAGTTTCCTTTGTGAGTGCTATGATGTTTGGGGACACCTTGATTCTTTCATGACACTCCTCACATTTATTTATTCCATCAGCATTCATATACCAAACCTTAAACTTCTTTTCTAAAACTGTTGTTTGGGGAGAACGTTGGGGTTGGGGGAGTGAGAGACCTGGTAGGAAACTATTGGGGGTTGTTGTGGGGGTGGAGTTTGTGATGAGAGTGGGAACAGTGGCTACGGTGTGTGGGTTTTGGGTTAGATTGTTTGGATGCATTGGGGTTGTCGCGGTAGAGGTCCTTCTGTAAGTGGTTCTGAGGGAGGTTGTATTTGCTCTTCCTCCAGAGTCTGGATTCTCCTAGTCATCTCTGCCTTTGCCTCTCTTTCTTCCTTGCATCTTTGTATCCTCTCTTTCATTTTCTGCCTTCTTGTGTCCTGTCGTGGTCGAGGTACATCCTTCGATATGTCGGTATGTCCCTTAGTCGTGAGAGAGAGAGAGAGAGAGAGAGAGGAGAGAGGAGAGGAGAGAGAGAGAGAGAGAGAAAGGGGGGGGGGTGATGTATGAGAGTATAGTTATACCAATGCTCTTACATGGGTGTGAAACATGGGTGGTGAATATTGAAACAAGGAGAAGGCTGGAGGCAGTGGAGGTGCGTCTGAGGGCCATGTGTGGAGTGAATATAATGCAGAGAATCCATATTTTGGAAATTAGGAGGAGGTGCAGGGTTACTAAAAGTATTATCCAGAGGGCTGAGGGGTTGTTGAGATGGTTTGGACATTTAGAAAGGATGAACAAAATATAATTAATGAATTGGAGAGCATATAAATCTGTAGTGGAAGGAAGGCGGAGTAGGGGGTCAGCCTTGGAAAGGTTGGAGAGAGGGGTTAAAGGGGTTTTTGTTTGTGAGGGGCTTGGACTTCCAGCAAGCATGTGTGAGCGTGTTAGACAGAAGCGAGTGGAGACAAATGGTTTTTATGAATTGACGTACTGTTGGAGTATGAGTGAAGTAACATTTATGAAAGGATTCTGGGAAACCGGCCTAGAGGTGGGAAGTACTGCCTGCACTCTGAAGGAGGGGCTGTTGATATGTTGCAGTATTTTAACTGTAGTGAAGGGATGCCTCTGGAAGTCAGTGATGGAGTCATCCTGCCTTGGTGGGAAACAGCCGATGTGTATATATATCTTAGCAATGAAACCATGAAACGAGTGGTTCTGAATCATTTACTATACTGCGGCACGCCAGAGTTCGACCCCACGACACATTGTCCCACCTCAAGAGACAACACAACATACATATTACCTTATCCACTCGTGGCAGTGATATGATCAAAGATTAATTTCAGCCTCCTCCTGTTTGAATACCCATCTCCAAGCAGTCTATATAATAATGAAACCACGAAACAAATTGTTCTGAATCATTTACCAAACTTTAGCAGGCCAGGGCTCGACCCCACAACACAATCAATATATTTAGTTGGAT